GATAATACATGGCAAACACTCTCAAATTATAAGTCACACTCACAAGCAGCTAGCCATGTAGTTGCACGCAGGCACACACACACATAGTAGGCAGCTGTTACAGTTCCGAACGCATATCAAGCAAGCACTCATCCAACACAGATATGCAGCCATACAGGCCGCTGCAATCGCAAAGCACACCCACGCATGACGCGTCGGCCAGGTCTGTGTGAGAGCAACCATAAGCTCGCACATCCGGCTTCAGCGAGAACGCCACACAATAGCAATCCAAGCAAGCACACGAGCAAACCAAACGCATGATCCAGCAGCACAAGTAGCGTTCATCATTCTCAAAACAGTGATGGAAGAAACACACCGCAATGCAGAGTTCACCTAGGCAACATAACATTGGAGACAGAGAAACAAAATGGTGAATAACGGAATACAATCATGAGCAGGTCAAGTGCTGAACTATTTTTTTTTTTAAAGGAGGATGACCCCCGGCCTCTGCATCTGGGCGATGCATACGGCCACTTTATTAATTACTCTCACAAACCTTACAAAGTCATACAACAGTAAGACTAAAGCCGCCGTCTAAGCAACAAACTGTCGCTACACCTATCCAGTTGATGAAGGGGCGTAGATAGCCTGGGCCTAATACCAAACAGACATCGCAGCCAAGCCTACCATCTAAGACCTGAGACCCCAACCTAGCCACTTGCCGGGTCTGGGGCACACACTGGTCCGACGTGCTCTCAGAGGCCGCCGCCGCCAACTGCCACCACTCCATCTTCAGAACTGTACTGATGCATCAACCTTGCTCGGTCCAGCTATCATCGACGCCACCACGGCGCCCAACGACACCTCCTCCCTGCGCACAAACAGCTGAACACGTCACGGTCGCCACTGATTCACCTCAGCGCCATGCTGCCAAGTACCACCAGCCGACACAGCTTGAAGCCCTTGGAGGATCTGTCGTGCGTAGCACCTGCCGACCAGGCATGACCAAGCGTAGCACCTGTCGGTCAGGCATGAATTGACATCTCCACCGAAGCTCCGTGCAAGACGAAGCCGCTCCACCTCCTGCCTCTGACTTCCAGCGCTGCTCCACAAAACGATGCTCCCAAGAGAGAAACGACACCGCAGTGCCGCCATAGTCCGGTTTGGAACACCAGATCCTAGGGTTTCCCCCGGAGCAATACGAGTGGGTCGATGGTAGTAACATGACGATGCCTTCATCAAGGTAACGACGTGGAACGTCGTCATCGCCCACCGTCGGCTCGGTTTTCACCGACAACTACGTCTTCCCAACTCGCAGCTGGTGCCAGATGACGGATCCAGAGATCCGAACACCCAGCCTCAGGCCGACCACCTCTGACGGAAGAGATGACCACCACCGCCGGTTGCACCGGTCAGAACAGATCTGATCGGAGGTGTCGCCGACAAAACGACCAGGACCTCCACGCCGCCGTCGCTGATCTGAAGGCAGCATGCACGCCACCGCAGCCAAGCCGGCCGCCGGCGACCGCAGCCGCCGCCGCCGCCGCCCGAAGGGCCATCCACAGCGCCCGCAGCCCTGGCCTCCGCCGCGCCAAGCCATCGCCTTCTGAGGACGGGCCGGCCTCCCGCCGCCTGCAGCCATCCGCCGCGCCGCAGATCCCAGATTGGTCACGCCACCACACGCCTTGGGGTCCGCCCCACCCCGGAGACGCGCGAGAGAGGAGATCCCCCGCCACCGCCATCGGTCCCCGGGCTTAGCACGGCGGCGTCTTTCAGCGGCGGTGGAGGGAGAGGAGGAGGGAGTTTGCGGCGGCGGCGGCTAGGTTTCTGGCCGCCCGAGTCGCCCTAGGGGGAGGACGACGCGGGGGTTGCAGCTGCTTGTCTAGTTTTGCTGAACTAAAATAATAATGGATGGATTCACCAATATGCAAATAAATGATGTACCTGAGGACGGAGACCCTAGGCAGCTTCTCCTTGTAGTAACGCGAGTGGACCGGCGCTTCGAAGTGGTCGGGGCAGTGGCCGGCGTCCCACTTCAGAGCGTCCCACACATCCTTCTCGATCTCGACAGCCGGCTTCTTCTCACCTTGACCACGGGAGCCCACGGATGGCAGCCTACGCAGGCTCCAGCATCCCCTGATCTTGATGGTCTCGAGCGCGGGTGCCATCATCTTGACCTCGCATATCTGTTGCAGCTTTGGGAGGTCGTGTAGATGGATGGCAGTCAGCTTCGGGAATAGTACACCATGGATGGTTATTTCCTCTGGGTATTCTATGTTCAGCATGAAGACGTGCACGAGGTCACCGCAGTGGATCATGTGGAGGGTCTTCAAGCTCGGGAAGGAGGAGACCCACACCGGAAGCACGAACTGCAGGCTGGGACAGGAGCGCAGGTGTAGGTGTTGTAGATTTTCAAAGGAGATGTAGCGGGTGTAATTACGGTTAAAAGGTCTACTCCAAATCCAACGGGCCATTAAGAGATCTGACGCCCAAAAGGTCTCCAGACGACCAAAATCATAAGTAGCCGCTTGGAAGACGGTATCCAACTTCAGGCACCTCTCCACACGGCACCACTTAAGGTACCCACACGAATAACCTTGATTTGAAACAACAGCACGTATTGATACGTCGACGTCGTGCACATGCAGGGATTTAGCACATCCAACCAATTCACGTAATCCTCTTTTCAGTTCACTCTCCACATAGCAGCTTCCTTTAGCAATCTCTACATGCTGGTCCAGCTGTGTACTCGGAGGTTGGGGGAAAGCCTGCATCGGGGGATCTCCAACAATGCTGAGGACATCACTATATGGGCCTGCTCGAATAAGGTTCTGCAAGCTCTCTTGATCATCAGGACCAATCTTGTTCTTGCTGTCTGCTTCAAATTGAGTACCTCCACCGTACATAGGCGAGGAGGTGACATGGATATTGTAACAAAGATACTTCATATTTGTCACCCTCCTCGACCAACTGTCACAACGCCCCAACAGATCCTTCAAAGAGCGAGTAAGCCTCGCATCCCTAGCAACAACATGCACCTGTAACTGGCGGGGTTTCTTCTTGTTGATGGATGGCTGGGGACACACGATTCCAACTCGTGTGTCTATGCACACCAACTCCAGGTCAGGTTTTATATCAGAATCAATCTCGTGCACCGAAATTATTGCACGAAGATGCTTGCATCCTATTAGAAACAATCGCTTGAGCCTTGGGACTTGCACTACCATAGTCTTGAAGTCAAGTACCTTGATCGCAGTTCCAGAGAGGTCCAACTCCAGGAGGTTGGGTAGCCCACACAAAAACAAATTCTTCAATTGTGTGCAACCTTCTAGAGAGATCTTTGAGATTCTGATATCCTTATATTCTGATGTGGTCGACGGACGGAATTGTTTCAGAGGTAGCTCAACATCTTGTGTCCATTGAGAAGCTGGCCCATGTCCATTAAAGCTAAAGGATTCGAGGGATGAAGGAAGGCTGCCAACATTTTCCAACCCATAGCAACCATCTAGTACAAGTAACCCAAGGCTACTTGCCATTGATAGGCTTGCTGGAAGAGATTTCATGTCACTGTTGCCTGACAAGTCAAGTATTTCCATGCTTGTCTTATCTATAAAGGAGTTATCAAAATCCTTTGATATTATCCATTGACATGTTGGTTTTGTTATCCGAAGCCTCTGGAGGTTAGGCAGCCGATGTTGTAGGTTAGACATATACTGCCAACCTCTGACTCCTTCTATATTCAGCTCTCTGATATTAGTCATGATATCCATCTTTTCTTCAGATAAGATCTCATTCCAATCTGTGTAACGTAGGTCCAACACTGATATGTTGCATAAATATGTCCACTCTATATGATCCTTTCCTTCACATTTTTTATCATCTGTACAGTGGTCCAGTCCAAGGAATCTTATGCTATGGCATATTAGGAAAGGAGGTGATGCAAAATTGAAGGCACAACAACGGAGAACTAGCACGCCAAGCTTGCTGGAATGTTCAAAGAAGCCATTTGGTAAACTTGGTGGGCAGTCAGAGCATTCAAATGCCAAGAAGAAAGATGAGGTCGGTGCAGGTATAGTTTGCATTCCACTTATTTCTATATTTTTAGATGTGACTGAAATCCAACGGTATGACCCTTCTTTGTAGATTTCTTCATCTTTAAGTACCAGAAAAGGAGGCTCTGAATCTTCCATGAACTTTTTAAGCACATTATCAACCAAAGTAGCATCACACTCCCAATTTATCTCTCGATGCAATGCATTACTAATATCCCTTGCTTTATCTCCTTCTATGATCCCATCGGACATCCAGTAGTTGGAAGCATGAGCGGCCCAATCAAACTTTCTTTTAGTGGCATTGTGGAAATTATAACGCAAGAATAACTCATATAGACAACAATTTGCAACAACTGCTAGATCGATGTCCATCATACATGCAGCACGAGCAACTATGGCAGCACCTTGTTGTTGTAGCAGTCCATAGAACTTTGAACCTGGCAATTCTCTGATTCCTTTATAGACATAAACAAAATTATGAGTATATCTTAGCTTGTCTACTGCCTGTTCAAGGTCATGGTCCATGGTCAGCCAACTTCTGCTGAAGGTCCATATCATCATGTTGTTGCCATATCTTCCAAAATGAGGAATGCCAAAGGTGCTTAGGTCAATCTCTTCATCACTTCCATTAAGAAAAATCATCATCAATTTGGTGTCCATCAGTGCTTGAGCAATCACTTGCCCGACATTGTCTATATCATCTCTCGAACTTTCATCAACTCCGTTACAATCGTCCTCTTCATCTTGCTCATCTAGAATGGCCATTACAGAGCAGTCAAGGTCCAGTTCCTCTGCAATTGCCCTCTGCACTGCTCTTCTATTTTTCCACTCAGAGCAATCTATGTAAATTAATTTGTCAAAGCATAGTTCTGGAGTGGTCCCACTACATTGGAGCATTTCTGCTATGGATCTAAGAACAGGGGACGCCCCGAATCCATCCCAACCATGAAAATAGACGGTCTTTACGTAGCTCCCTCTTTCAAGAATTCGAAGTATTTCCTCTCTGGCACCATCAACGTCCGTTGAATAAATGTGCTGTCAAAGATGTTAATAAGTTAGAACACCTTTGCTAGATACAGAACTAATATAACTTATACCATTATTGGACAGAAGAATTGTTGTTTGAACACTCATTTAAATCACAATGACTGTTAACAGTCAGGCCTACGGCAAAGTAGCTATGCTGTGTATTTAGCAAAGTTTTAAATAGCGAGATATTATGGCAAATACTGGCAGGCTCAATAGTCAATAGCATGCTAACTTGGCATTATAGTGCGCTAAAGCGAAAAAATTATACACGATGCCGTTTTTTGCGTGATGCCCCTCCAAATGCTACAACGTCGAGATTGTGCGCTATTTAAAAGTTCAGTATTTAGGCATCCGGTCAACCTACTGGGTAACATATTTCCTGCTAGTTTACGCGCTGTCTGCTGAGCTTAACAATCTTTTTCTTGCGTACACATCTACATTCTTCTTATGTACACATCTATGTGTTTAGTTCAGGGTTTTTACCAACTAACAACATTTTCACACGTGGCCGTGTGTTTGCATGTGAGATACTCCCTCCGTTCCTAAATATTTGTCTTTCAAATGGACTACACATACGGATGTATAAAAAAAAAGAGCAACCTGGTGCATGTAGCTCCCGCTTGCGCAGGGTCCAGGGAAGGGTCCGACCACTTTGGGTCTATAGTACGCAGCCTTTCCCTACATTTCTGTAAGAGGCTGTTTCCAGGACTTGAACCCATGACCTCATGGTCACAAGGCAGCAGCTTTACCACTGCGCCAAGGCTCCCCTTCACTACACATACGGATGTATATAGACATATTTTAGTGTGTAGATCCACTCATGTTGCTCCGTATGTAGTCACTTGTTGAAATCTCTAAAAAGACAAATATTTAGGAACGGAGTAGTACATTAGCTTACGGAAATCTATAGGTTCAGGAGAGCTACCTGTGTATGTTTGTTTCGTTTTTAGGTATGACAACTTCAAAATGCAACCAACTGGTCCAGTAACTTGTTAAGTAGTTTGTCACCCTTGGGCGCTCGATGCCGTGGTCAAGACGTGAGGCAGTGGTGCACGTCAGCTGGTCGATGATGGGCAAGGCCAGGCTGCCCTGACTTTTTTTTTTGGCGGGACAGGGCTGCCCTGACTGTTAGCATAACTAGCACTTCCTTCATTCACTATTATAAGATGTTTTGGATGTTTTAATATGGACTACATTCGGACTGAAGTGAGTGAACAAACACATAAAAATCGTGTCTATACACATCCGATTCAGAAAAAGAGTTAAACCATCTTATAATAGTGAATGGAGGAGTATATAGTAAATATTTTTTGCATTTTCGGAGGGGTTGCCATGGCGCCCTCACTGGATCGCCCGGGCTATACATACTGGATCGCCCGGGCTATACATTTATAGTATTGTATTACTGTGCCAAGGCCATTTCACAACCAATAACGTCGGTCCATCACAATGAGTGAGTAAGCCACTACGTGCGTCCATGTACTACTTTTGTGAACGTAAAATGCAGAAGAGTATTACCCATGTTGTCATAAGATCCCTACTCATGATGAATTCCTCTGACAAAGATCAAGAGAAAAAGCCAACAGCAAATTTAATAAATCTTCAACTGTTGAGGACTCATGATTAATCCCTCCATCGAAGACCAATATAGAGAACCAGCAGCAAATTTAACCAATGTTAAACTGATGGGGACTCGTGATGAATAATTCTTCTGTCAAAGACCAGGAGAGGAAAGTAGCAGCAGATTTCGACCAGTCTAACCCATCAGACCCCTCTTGTCACACTGCCTGCATATATATTTTGACCAGCAAATCATGTTACATTTGTGTTTCCCTGTTGGTTACCAGCAGTGGAGTGCTACTCACCAACACGCAAAGTTTATAGTATAGAAGAATTACTGAGAGAGGCGTTCTAACTGCTCTCTCGATATTTGGAAATTTCGGAAGATTTTGAAAGGAACCACACATATATACATCTAGACGTGATTTATCTGTCCAAATATATGTTCACTTGTGAGCTGCACCAAAAAAATGAGTGTGGGTCTACGATAGGGAGTAGTACATCTAGTATAGATCCACATATTTGTACCTTTGTTTAGCACGCAAAAGAGGACATATTTGTGCATGGAATTTACGTGTATGTAGCACAAGTGTATATGTAGTAGTGGCAATTTGTTTTTTTGAAACTTCAAAATGTCTTTTCCAAATCTTATTCTAAAATGAGCTCCAAGTGCCCCGAGATCATTTAGGGGTATTCAATAATGTACTCCCTCCGTTCCTAAATATAAGTCTTTGTAGAGATTTCACTATGGGCCATATACGGATGTATATAGATGCATTTTAGAGTGTAGTTCATTCATTTTACTCCGTATGTGGTCCATAGTGAAATGTCTCCAAAGACTTATGTTTAGGAACGGAGGGAGTATATTATAAGTTACGAAGAAAGGAAACAAATTGATGGTACCTTGACAGCAGACAACGGCAGCTTGACAGAAGGGGAACCCCGAGCTTCCGCTTCTGCACACTGCTAATTCAGCGAAGAAATGTAGAGCCGAGAGATGCACGCAGTAGTAGAGCAGATTGGGTCCTCCTATCTGTAACCAAAGAGTGCACGCTGCTCAGTGAGTTAGCATGCCATGGCCAATTTCACAACCAAGAATGTCCCTTATAATCTCAGGAGAAAGCCACTGCATGCATACTACTTTGTGAACATAAAGTGCACAAGAGTATTTTCTCTTCCAGAAGGCCACTTCTCGTGACAAATTCCTCTAACGAAGACCAGGAGAGAAGGCCATTGGCGAATTTAATCAATCTTCAACTGATGAGGACGGATTCACGATGAGTATATATTTTAGAAAAGGAGGAATCACCCCCAGCCTCTGCATCCGGATGATGCATGCGGCCATATTATTTATTATTCACAAAGACCTTACAAAGTAATACAACAGTAAGCCCGAGGCCACCATCTAGACGACACCTGTCGCTACTCCTATCCTCTTGATGAAAGCGTGCCGAATGTCCGGGCCAAATACCAAACAGACATCGCACGAAAGCCTAACATCTAACGCCGGATGCCCCGTCCAGGCCACATAGGCGGGGCTGGGTAACACTCCGGTCCGGCACACTATCAGTGAGTACCACACGCACACGCTGCAAAGGGCCGTCACCTCCATCTTCCCTCGATCCATCCTCAAAGCATGTACTGACGCATCGACCTTGTCAGGCCTCTCTGCCATCGACGCCACCACGGCGCCAGACAACGTCGACCTCCTGCGCGTGTCCCTCACCACACATCTGACGCCAAGCCTCCACTGCTCCATGCCGTCGAGAACCGCCGCCATGAATATGGAGAAAGAAACACCGCTCCACCGCAGCTGCCATCCGCTGGTCCTTCGAGCCCGAGTGCATCTCCAAAAATGCCGCCCCCAAGGGGGTAACGACATATGAATGCCGCCGTCATCCGATCAACTGATCTAGGATTTCCCCCGAAGGTATTGGGTGGGGTTGGGAACTTCACCTCGATGATGCCTTCATGAAGGAAACGATGATAAAGCATCGTCATCACCGGCTCCGGCCAATGACCGAAGACCAAGTTTTCACCCGGATCCATTCCAAGAAATCCACCCGACAACCTGTGCACTATCTCGACCGCCTTCAAAGCCCCAGACCTAGCCTCCTAAATCCAGCGACCAACCGCGACAGCAGTGCCACCGTAGGAGCCCTAGCGCACCAGCCACTGCCTGAATGTGCCACCACTGGAGCCTGGGAGGAGGGCTCCCACCCCACCTCGCCAAACCGCGAGAGCCACCGAGATGGATCCCGCACGCTCATCACCGTCTCTGATCTGAACCAATCTGTGGCCAAACCACGAGATCGCCGATGCAGATCCGCCTTGGATAGGGACTACACCACGCCATGCCGCCGCGGGAAGCCAGAGCTTCACTCGCCGCCACCTTCCAGGGCCGCCGCCCCGGGATCCAGCCGCCGTCGACAAGGCGCGCCGCTCACGTGCAGCAGGCCGGAGGAGCCCCCCCGATCCAGATCTGGACCGAGAAGCTGACCACGGCCGCCCCACGCCGGCACGCCCCGCCTGGCCGCGAATCTGCAGCCACCCGCACCTCCGCGCCAGAGAGCCGCCATCCGGCCGCCCTGGACGCATCTGCGCCGCGCCGCCCTGCATGGCTGCGCGCATCCGCGTGAGGGCGCTGTCCCGCGCCAGCCCCACACCGCGCCGAAGGAAGGAGGGCCCGCCGCCACCGACGCTGGCCGGGCTTTGCCCGGCGGCGCGAGCCGGCGGCGGCG